TTTGGCTTCGTATTCTGACTTCGTTTTCGCTTTATCCTTATCTGTACTGTTTGCCGGCTTGCTGTTTTCCGTGTACCAGACCCCGGCTTGTCCTAGTTTACGCTGTCTCTCTGTGCCCTTGACCTCGGTTTGTTCCTGGCTCTGTCTTCTCTCATATACGTCGAGTCCGGCCATTCTAAGGTCCGGTAGACGTATCTCTCCTCTGTATCTGCCTCTGTTTAGCTGGATCCTGCGTGTAGGGGTATATTCTCGTTACAATTTGTTCCCTTTTGAGAAAGATGCAAACCATCTTTTTTGTACAGTTTATTTCCATTCCAAACAGAGCTACCATGAGAAATGAAGCCAAATCCTTGTTCCTGACACCATTCACCAAGCCACAAGGTAATGTCCCTAATACACATCTGCCTGTCGTTCTAAATGTGTTATGCAGACGGCATAACTTCAGAGAATGACAGTGTGGAAGCAACCTGCCATATATCATTGGCAAAAACACTAAAAACTTCCTTTATCTCTGAAACCTCATTGCAAGTCAAGTCATTTGTCCTTAGATGGACAAGTACATCCAATTCCCCTTCCTGCTTTGCTCGCTTAACAATGTTATAAATACGTCTCCTGTCTCTGTGAGCAGTAGCTCCAGGAAGACATCTCACAAGACCACCATTGTCCAGCTCCACACCTCTTATGATAGAAACCCCCAACAACAACTGTTGCTTTCTATTAGGCCTCACCATAGTCTCAAAGCCTGTCTCCACAACACCACTACACTTGGTGCCTGAGCCTGTCTCCACAACACCACTACCCTCAGTGCCTGAGCCTGTCTCCAGAAGACCACTACCCTCAGTGCCTGATTCTGTCTCCATAACACCACTACACTTGGTGCCTGAGCCCAGGGCTGGACTGGGGATTCCAAAGCAGCCCTGAAAAAAAATCTATGCCAGCCCCATAAGTCATTGCGCCATATATTGTCGCATGTAATATGTAAGGCTATGTCTTGCCACCCTAGATGATTGATATATATATATATATATATACAGCTTTTTCCAATATAAAATATTGGTCCTTTCAGAGTAAAATTTTTAATTATACAGTAAGCATACTCACATGCAGACAGAGACAATCTCACTGACACAAGCTGATTGATACACAGCCTCATAGACAAACAATATCACTGATGTACATAAGGTCATTGACATAAAAACACAAGCTCACTCAGTAGCAGGCACACACACACACACACACAAGCAAGCCCACTCACTAGCAGGCGCGCGCACACACACAGCTTAATGTAGTGTCTCTGGTGTCTCTAGCCTGTCCCTGCAGGCTTTTCAATGTAAACACTGACTTTTTAGAGAAAAGGCAGTGTTTACATTGCTTCCTAGTGACAGACACTCAGACGGTCACTAGAGGTGCTTCCTGTGTCAGTGCGGATTGGCTGAGATCATCAAGCTTGATGATCTCAGCCGTAGAGGCAGGGCCAGTCGAGGGGAGACCAGCACGACGTGGGGGGGGGGAAAAAGGTGAGTAAAAACACACATACACACACACATACCATGACAGACACACACCATAGCACAGACAGACCGTGACACAGACACACACACACCGTGACACAGACAGAAACACACACACACCATGACACAGACAGAAACATAGACACACCATGACAGACAGACACACACACCATGACAGAGACACACACATGCCATGACAGACACACACACATACCATGACAGACACACACCTTAAAAAGACACACACATACACACCTTGACACACACACACCATAACACAGACTGTGATACAGACACACACACACCGTGACACAGACACACATTACATGACACAGACAGACACACACACCATGACACACAGACATACACCACGACACAGAGAGACCATGACACAGACCCACACACACCATGACACACAGTCACACATTACATGACACAGACAGACACACACACACCATGACATACAGACACACACACACACACCATGACAAACACACAAACACCATGACACAGACAGACCCTGAAACAGAAAGACACACACACAATGACACATACACACATTGCATGACACAGACAGATGCACACACCATGACACAGACAGACCCTGAAACAGAAAGACACACACACAATGACACAGACACACATTGCATGACATAGACAGATGCACACACCATGACAGACAGGATACACACACAGACACACACAATGACACAGACACACATTGCATGACACAGACAGACACACACACACACCATGACACAGACAGAGGCACACACACAGACCATGACACAGACGCGCACACCATGACAGACAGAGACACACACACACACCATGACACAGACAGACACACACAATGACACAGACGCACACACCATGACACAGAAAGACACACTCATGACAGACACACACACAAATGACACAGACACACACACACATACACTCACACACATAATTGCCACCTGTGTGCTGGCATGGGGAGCTCTGATGGTGGCTGCATGGGGGAGCTGGCTCTTCTGGCGGCCGCAGGGGGAGCTGGCTGTTCTGTCTCTGCTCCCCCTGCCCAGCACACTGCTTAATGAAACCGGGGCCGGAATATGACATCATATTCCGGCCCCGGTCTCATTAAGTGGCACGCTGGGGAGGGGCAGCAGAGACAGAACAGCCAGCTCCCCCGGTGGCTGCCAGAAGAGCCAGCTTCCCCATGCGGCCGCAGGTGAGCCAGCTGTCTGCCCGGCCCTGGTGGGCCAGTCCGGTCCTGCCTGAGCCTGTCTCCATAACACACTTAAACTCATAAAGTGCTGAAAATGAATTATGTAGAGCAACAGACTGTGCAATATACATTTTATCCACAATTCTAAGTCTACCAGATCCTACAGTAATCTATCTGCCATTCCAAGTGCGTCTCTGCGGCAGTGGCGTTGCAGCAGTTCCAGCCTGAGTTTGTTTACCAGATAATTTACAAATCTCAGACTTCAAAAATACAATCTCCTGCCACAATATAGAGAACTGTCTACAGATTAGACAGCATCCAAATCTCCAAAAAGTGGAACATGAAACAAATATATAATAACTTTTACACTGAACTAAGTCTGCCATTTCAATGAGGTGAATAATTTAATAAAACAAATCTTAATTATAATTTTTTGTCCTCCTGTATACCTCAGAATACCTCCAGAATATCTCCAATCACACACTTTGAAGCAGCACTCGCCAGAATATCTCCAACCACACACTTAGATGAAGCAACCAAGCTATATTAGCCAAGCTAATGACCACAACCCTTATATAACTCCTAAAATCACCACCCACTAGGAATGTTTAACACTTGGGTAGGCCTCTGCTTATTTGCAAACAATAGCTAATTAACCAACAATTAATAGCAAGTATTTAGCTAATCAAATCAAATGCCTTACCAAATTACCAACAGGAATTCAAACCTTGTGCAATCAGTAACCTTTTCCTACAGATGAATCTTACCTGTAACGGTAGAAAAGAAAATTCTCAGCACAACTCTTAGACAGTTGAAGATTCTGTAAAACCCTCCAGAATATCTCCAACCACACACTTAGAAGAAGCAACACTTAGATCAGGGGTTCTCAACCCAGTCCTCAGGACCCCCTACCAGTCCAGGATTTGGGGATTACTTGGGTGTGTCTCAGGTGTTTATAAAAAGGGAAAAAACACCTTAGACTCTAAGGTGTTTTTTTTCTTTTTCTAAACACCTTAGACACACCCAGGTAATCCCTAAACCCTGGACTGGTAGGGGGTCCTGAGGACTAACGTTGAGAACCCCTGACTTAGATGAAGCAACCAAGTTATACCAAGCCCACAATGCCTTCCCAAGAAGTATTCAACCTAAGTTACACTACAAATACAGTATTCAGATACTGGAACTTACATACTATCACGCACACAAACATTTCCTCACCACATCAGATATCATATAATGTCATTTGTTTATTACAAATATAAAGAAACAGACAAACTTATAAATGACTATAGCGTTTTGTGTTATCTCTCTATATCTTTATCTCTATTTATATATCAAGCTCTAGCTATATATATATCTCTGTCTCTCTATTTATATCTCTATCTATATCTCTATCTATCTATCTAGGGAGGTTGGCTGTCAGGGGTTGACAGGGAAGGGGTTAACACTGGGTAGTGAGGTTGGCTGACAGTGACTGGCAGAGAAGGGGCTAACACTGGGTAGGAAGGTTGGCTGACAGTGACTGGCAGAGAAGGGGCTAACACTGGGTAGTGAGGTTGGCTGACATGGACTAGCAGGGAAGGGGCTAACACTGGGTAGTGAGGTTGGCTGACATGGACTGGCAGGGAAGGGGTTAACACTGGGTAGTGAGGCTGGCAGGGGCTGGAGAAGAATGTATTACTTGCATTATAGGGAGGGAGAGAGATGTGAGCATTCCTTACACTACAGAAGACGTGCCTCTATTTTCATTGGCTGAAAAAGCTATGTTTCTTTCAGAGACTGGGAATCAGGAATATGTTGAAATGTGAGAGGGGGTGGCTGGGTTACGCTGCTGAAAACATAAAAACATTTCACAGAACTGCAGGAAAAGTACACAGAATTGAAAGAAAAGAAACTAACCATATGAATTTGAGCTTATTAGCTTTAATTTAAGCTTAACTTATTTAACTCCCTGGAGTGTCCCTTTAAAAATCAAGATAAATAATAAAAACAAATGCTAAAATATAAATTCAATGAAGGGGTACACCTAACGCTTTTTTTTACGTTAATTGTAAGTAGCACCACTGGATACGTATCAATATTATTTTTTTATACTCCACTATTTTTGTTTTTCTTTCTCTCCACATTATCTGATGCTACTGGTTGTGAAGACAATAAGTTCTACAGGACAACACCTCACATCCCAAGGCAGGGATTATACCGCCCATGCATTATCCAACAGAAACCTTAGTAGCTCTATGTAGTGTGAGTGTTTTTTCGGCATCCCCATTTCATATCTATCCTGTTTTAATATATTGTACCATTATTACACTCTACAATGTGCTATGGATCATACCAATATATACACTGCCCACTGTGTTTAGAATTTTATTGTAAATTTTACTGTACAATTTGTGGCATGGTCTAACATTTTTTAGTTTTAGTTTTTTTAATTATATTTACTCAAGGTAGTGGTAATCCGTGTGAGGTTTAATGCAGCTCCCATATTTTTCTATTATAGATAGCACCTATACATTCTTTTTTTTACTTTATAAATTGGGTGAAGACTTTCAAGATAACCATCGAGTTTCTCATTTGCAGTCCACTGTCCATATAATTGGTGGCAGAACAACAGCAAAATGCTGTGGCCATTTGTGTGGCAATATGTTTGCTGCTTTATTGGGATAGCCCATAAATAGAATCTGTTCAACCCTTGAGGGTCGCAGGTTCATATCCTGGCAGGGTTGACTCAGACTTTCATCCTTCCAAAGTAGATAAAATGAGTACCATTAAGTTGGGTAATAGTAACATCCCCTGGATGTTGAGCAAAAGCAACATTCCCAGGAGGAACGTAGAAACCAAAGTATAGATAAACCCTGATTCCTGATTAAATACTTATTATTTCATGCAGTTGTGATCAATTAACTGCACGTGACCCTCGTTTACAGATAATTCATGATTAGACTATGCAAAATTTGAACTACATTTAAAATGAAAAAAAAAAAACATATATATTTAAAGTTCTTTTGTGCAAATCCATGCGGGCATCATCTTCAGCCCATTGGGCATCTTTTATGTATGGAATAAAATATATGTATCACAATCTACACACTGCGTGTTTGTCTCTATGGTATGTAGCCTATTTCAAAGTTTCAATGTTGCTCACAGTAAGGGTTTCTCAATGTTGCTCACAGTAAGGGTTTCTCAATGTTGCTCACAGTAAGGGTT